TTATTACAATGGTAATTACTTATTTGTTACATGATAATTTCCGATAAAACGGTTTTGATGGTGCAATAAGCAGGTACTGTAAATATAAATGGGTGTTAAAAATAATGTCCTTCGACAATAGATATTTACAAGAGATGATTTAAGGAAGGGCGTAGTCTTTGCTCGGATGGGTGAAATTAAGTTGAGAACAGGAGGAGGAATGGGAGGGCTCAGTTTGGGGGGGTGAGGCGGAAGGAAAGGAAGGAAAAGGACAGTGAGGGGAAGGGAAGGGACAGGGAGGAGGAAAAAAAATGGACAATGGGAAAAAGGGGGCATGGAGGGAGAAAGGAAGAAAGAGAGCACAGGGGGACAGGGAAGGAAAGATTAGAGAGAGAGGAAAGGGGCAGGGAGGGAGAAAGAGGGGGGCAGGGAGGGGAGAAAGGGGGACAGGGAGGGAGGACAGAGAGAAAAGGGGACAAGGGAGGACAAAACCAGCAATAAAAACACAATAACACACCAAAACAAATTTACAGTCAACCTCAAGAGAAAAAAAAAGAAAGTTACACACAGCCGTCATTATATTAATTATAATAATGATACATTACCTGTTAAAACACCGAACCAGACCTTCACAGCGTGTTTGTTTGTTTGTCTGTATTAAAAGTATTTGTTTCGTTTGTTTATATTTTTTGTATTGTGTTTGTTTGTTTGTGTATATATTGTTTCGTCTTTGTGTGGGTTTACAAGTCAAATATCACACACACACACACACACACACACACACACACACACACACCACACACACACACACACACACACTATGATAACTCCTTAAGTTTTAACCTTCCAATACTGCTCCCTCCTCCCTTACTCTCCCTTCCTCCCTCTCCTCTTCCTCCAAACCTCACTCTCCACCTCCCTTCTCTCTGAACTTCCTATTCTCCCCCTCCCTCCTACTCTCCCTTCCTCTCTAAAATTCCCTCCCTCACTCCCTTCTCTTTAAACTCCCTTCCACCCTCCTTCCTTAATATCCCTACCAACCCTTTCCCATAATCTCCCTCCTCCTAATCTCTCTCCTCCACTCCCACCACACTCCCTCCTCCCTCCCCCACCCAACACCCCACAAGACTAACATAACAAACGGGTTAATGGGATGGACAGGAAGAGAAAATGAGGAGAGGAATGATGTTGTTGAGAAAGGAAGGGGAGGGAATGGTGAGGGGAGAGAGGGAGGAGGGAGTGGGGAGGGAGAGAGGAGGGGTGGAGTGGGGAGGAGAGAGGGAGGGAAAGTGGGGAGGGAGGGAGGGAGGAGGAGAGAGGAGGAGGGAGAGCAGGAGGGAGGAAAGGGGAGGGAGAAAGGGAGGGAGGGAGTGGGGAGGAGAGAGAGGGAGGGAGGAGGGAGGAGGAGAGGGAGGGAGGGAGTGGTGGAGGGAGAAAGGAGAGAGAGGAGGAGGAAGAGATGGAGAAAGGAGGAGGAGGGGGGAAGGAGGAGGATGTAAATTTTATGGTCTAATTCTCTCTTCCTTCTACCCCACCACTCCTATATCTCTTCTTCTTTCTCTTTGTCTCCACCTATCACCTCCTCCTGTATCTCCCTCCCCCTCCTCTTCCTCTTACCACATCCCAGTCCTGTCCTTTTCTTCTCTTCTCTCCTCTCTTTCGTTGTATCTAAATCGTTCCTTCTTTGTCCCTTCATTGTCTATCTCAATTCTCACATTCCCTTTCTCCCTTCATTTCCTCTCTCTCTCCCCCTCCCTTTCTTCCCTCCTATCCATATTATTCTTCCTTCTCTCATAGTTTCTCCTTCCCTTCTCCCTCATTTCCTCTTCCTCTCTACTCTCTCTCTCCTTCTCTCCCTCCCTCCCCCTCCTTCTCTCCCTCCCTCCCTCTACCACCCTCCCTCCCTCCACCGACGGACGGAGGCCATTATCAGATGGCCCATCAAGGCCGCCAACATCAGGAACACACACACACACACACACACACACACACCACACACACACACACACACACACACACACACACACACACTGCAATAATCCTCATCTATCACAATAATCTATCCATTACATCCAGAATAGATAGAAAGGATAGATAAGTTGATGGATAGAAAGTGGATAGATAGATGTTTAAGGAGAATATACCTTTAGTACCTCCTGAGTCGGGCTAGAGTACAGTGTGTGTGTGTGTGTGTGTGTGTGTGTGTGTGTGTGTGTGTGTGTGTGTGTGTGTGTGTGTGTGTGTGTGTGTGCAGGCACAACAACAAGTGACTCCGCCTCTGTGGACTAATGCCATAAGGATGATTTTTACCTTCAAATTTCAAAGAATTTATGAATGTTGAAATGATAGAAAGAAAGACGTAGCTAGAGAATGGTCACTGTTGTTGTTTGTGAGGTTGTTAAGGTTGTGGTCACGTGGTCAATTAGGTTGTTATGTGTTATGTAAATGTGGTTGAGTGTTATGCTCTAATATTAAACTAGCTTAACCTAACTTAACCTAACCTAGCCTAGTCTAGTCTAACCTAACCTAACCTAGCCTAACTTAAACCTATCTTGTCCAATGAGTGGATTTGTCCAGCGGGGATATGTCCAGGTTGATACGTCCAGTGGGAATTTATCCAGTTAAGGGATGAGTTCAGTTAGAGATTTGTCCAGTGAGGGATTTGTCCAGGCCGGTAATTGCCAACGCGTAGTGACTAACGTAGTTGACCAGCGGGGTAGTTGACCAGCGGGGTAGTTGACCAGCGGGGTAGCTGACCAGCGGGTAGCTGACCAGCTGGGTAGTTGACCAGCGGGTGCTGACCAGGTAGTGACCAGCGGGGTAGGACCAGCGGGTAGTTGACCAGTGGGTAGTTGACCAGCGGGTAGTTGACCAGCGGGTAGTTGACCAGCGGGTAGTTGACTAGTGGGGTAGTTGACCAGCGGGTAGTTGACCAGCGGGGTAGTTGACCAACGGGGTAGCGACCACGCGGGGTAGTTGACCAGCGGCAGTTGACCAGGGGTAGTTGACTAGTGGGGTAGTTGACCAGCGGGTAGTTGACCACGGGGTAGTTGACCAACGGGGTGTTGACCAACGGGGTAGTTGACCAGCGGGTAGTGACCAACGGGTAGCGACCGCGGGGTAGTTGACCAGCGGGTAGCGAACTAGCGGGTAGTTGACCGGCGGGGTAGTTATCCAGTAGGGAGTTGACCAGCGGGTAGTTGACTAGTGGGGTAGTTGACCAGCGGGGAAGTTGACTAGTGGGTAGTTGACCAGTGGGGGTAGTTGATCACGGGTAGCTGACCAGCGGGGTAGTTGACCGGCGGGGTAGTTATCCAGCAGGGTAGTGACCAACGGGGTAGTTGACTAGGGGTAGTGACCGGGGTAGCGACTAGGTGGGGTAGTTGATCAGCGGGTAGTTGACCAGCGGGTAGTTGACCAGCGGGTGGTTGACCAGCGGGTAGTTGACCAGCTGGTGTTGACCAGCGGGGTAGCTGACCAGCGGGGTAGTTGACCAGCGGGGTAGTTGACCAGCGGGTAGTTGTCCAGTTGGGTAGTTGACCGGCGGGGTAGTTATCCAGCAGGGTAGTTGACCAGCGGGTAGTTGACCAGTGGGTAGTTGACTAGTGGGGTAGTTGACCAGCGGGTAGTTGACCAACGGGGTAGTTGACTAGTGGGGTAGTTGACCAGCGGGGTAGTTGACCAGCGCGGTAGTTGACCAGCGGGTAGTTGACTAGTGGGGTAGTTGACTAGTGGGTAGTTGACCAGCGTAGCTGACCAGTGGGGTAGTTGATCAGCGGGTAGTTGACCAGCGGGGTAGGACCAGCGGGTGGCTGACCAGCGGTAGTTGACCAGTGGGGTAGTTGACCAGCGGGTAGTTGACCAGCGGGTAGTTGACCAGCGGGAGAGGACCAGCGGGTAGTTGTCCAGTTGGGTAGTTGACCAGCGGGTAGTTGACTAGTGGGGTAGTTGACCAGCGGGTAGTTGACCAACGAGTGTAGTTGACCAACGGGGTAGCTTGACTAGTGGGTAGTTGACCAGCGGGTAGTTGACCAGCGGGTAGTTGACAGAGGGTAGTTGACCAACGCAGTAGGGACCAACAGTAGTTGACCAGCGGGGTAGTTGACCAACGGGGTAGTGACCAACGGGGTAGTTGACCAGTGGGGTAGTTGACCAGCAGGTAGTTGACCAGCGGGGTAGTTGACTAGTGGGGTAGTTGACCAGCGGTAGTGACCAGCGGGGTAGTTGACCAGCAGGGTAGTTGACCAGCGGGTAGTTGACTAGCGGGTAGGACCAGCGGGTAGTTGACCAGCGGTACACAACACTATAATTCATGACGTACTTTACCCAGATCAACATCAACACCGCAACACACCACAGACACAACACACCAATATACCCATTTGTGCCATTAATCTTATTTGTGTTGTGTACTAAGTCAACCACACAATACACCTGTATGTTAGTCATCTCTCGTGTTGACGTAGTTGTTATTTCTATGTCTTGCTAAGGGATAAAGTTTTGTAAATAATCAATAAAGAATTCTGGCAACTGTCCTAACCAGCTCCTTGATGTTCCGCAGAATCAGAGCCCTCGACCCCCTTCATACTGCCCATATGTGTATGCTCATATCTTTTTATTTATTTACATTTCCACTCGTTATATGATCAATTATATGGCTAATTTCATCTTAATGTAAAAATAGTTGTTATAAAGCGACTGGATATTCCGTTATAAGGAGAGTTTCAGTATGTCGGGGTTGATGGTGAGGAAGGCCACAGGGTCCCGGATAAGCAAAGCGACTCCTTACGCTCATCTCACTTATTTCTCTTTGTGATCCGTGTTGTCGTTTCCTCCGCTGCTCCGTTACGTCACATACACTCCAACTCATATTAAACTTGTAGTATACGGAGAGAGGTATCGTATTGGCCTCAAGACAGTGTAATAAAGCTAATAGGTTAAGTGAGGGCGGTGGTGTGGTGTGCCTGCCCGCCAACCTCTTGCCATACGATGCTCGCTTGTTTTATTGTTCCTCATATCCTAACAACCATCTAACACCCTTAACACCTATCATTATATAATCCTAACTGCCAGGATGGAATAAATAACATACATATATAAGGTAAGATATTTAAAGAAAGAATTAGAACATGGAATAAGAGGACAATGGGAGAGTAAGTGGGATGGCAACAAGAGCGGTGGTTGACAGAGCTGCTACACAAACCGCCATTCCAAATAGAAGACATTAAATCTTCACTACCAGATTATGGGTCCTTATGAATCCCATTACCACTACTGATAAGCAATTAAGTACAGAGGAGAGATTGTTTGATATAATGTCGTGTAGAGCAGCTGGCTACATAGGCGTGTTTCGGGTTTAATCAATATTTGAAATAAACGCTAACAGTTCCCACACGCAAGAGGGACATTCCATGAATCAATTTTTATCAACTTCGACGGGTGATAACGCAGTGTAACAACACTCAATCTATTACGGGTGATATATTTGTAGTAGTAATGACACTACTACTCCTAATAATAATAATAATGATAATAATAAAAAATAATAATAATAACAATAATAATAATAATAATAATAACAACAAATAATAATAATACGTAATAATAATAATAATAATAATAATAATAATAATAAAAATAATAATAATAATAATAATAATAATAATAATAATAATAATAATACGTATAATAATAATAATAATAATAATAATAATAATAACAATAAGACTATTAATAATAATAGGACACCTAAACAATCAGGTGTCTCCTGTTATCAGTAAGAACACAAAGATAATTTAAAGTAAATATTGTCCCACAGACGAGTAGTGTAGTGTAGGTGAGTCACAACACCCACCAGGTGGTGTAGGTGAGTCACAACACCCACCAGGTGGTGTAGGTGAGTCACAACACCCACCAGGTGGTGGAGGGTGAGTCACAACACCCACCAGGTGGTGTAGGTGAGTCACACACCACCAGGTGGTGTAGGTGAGTCATAGCCACCCACCAGGTGGTGAGGTGATACAACACCCACCAGGTGGTGTAGGTGAGTCACAACACCCACCAGGTGGTGTAGGTGAGTCACAACACCCACCAGGTGGTGTAGGTGAGTCACAACACCCACCAGGTGGTGTAGGTGAGTCAACGACACCCACCTCAGGTGGTGTAGGTGATTACAACACCCACCAGGTGGTGTAGGTGAGTCACAACACCCACCAGGTGGTGTAGGTGAGTCACAACACCCACCAGGTGGTGTAGGTGAGTCACAACACCCACCAGGTGGTGTAGGTGAGTCACAACACCCACCAGGTGGTGGGTGACACAACACCCACCAGGTGGTGTAGGTGAGTCACAACACCCACCAGGTGGTGTAGGTGAGTCACAACACCCACCAGGTGGTGTAGGTGAGTCACAACACCCACCAGGTGGTGAGGTGAGTCCAACACCCCACCAGGTGGTGTAGGTGAGTCACCCACCAGGTGTAGAGACACCCACCAGGTGGTGTGGTGAGTCACAACACCCACCAGGTGGTGTAGGTGAGCCACAACACCCACCAGGTGGTGTAGGTGAGTCACAACACTCACCAGGTGGTGTAGGTGAGTCACAACACCCACCAGGTGGTGTAGGTGAGCCAACACCCACCAGGTGGTGTGGGGTCACAACACCATCAGGTGGTGGGACACAACACCCACCAGGTGGTGTAGGTGAGTCACAACACCCACCAGGTGGTGTAGGTGAGTACAACACCCACCCAGGTGGTGTAGGTGAGTCACAACACCCACCAGGTGGTGTAGGTGAGTCACAACACCCACCAGGTGGTGTAGGTGAGTCACAACATCCACCAGGTGGTGTAGGTGAGCCAACACCCACCAGGTGGTGTAGATGAGTCACAACACCCACCAGGTGGTGTGAGGTGAGTCACAACACCCACCAGGTGTAGATGAGTCACAACACCCACCAGGTGTGGTGAGTCACGACACCCACCAGGTGGTGTAGGTGAGTCACGACACCCACCAGGTGGTGTAGGTGAGTCACAACACCCACCAGGTGGTGTAGGTGAGTCACGACACCCACCAGGTGGTGGTGAGTCACGACACCCACCAGGTGGGTGAGTCACGACACCCACCAGGTGGTGTGGGTGAGTCACGACACCCACCAGGTGTAGGTGAGTCACGACACCACCAGGTGGTGTAGGTGAGTCAACACCCACCAGGTGGTGTGGTGAGTCACAACACCACCAGGTGGTGTAGGTGAGTCACAACACCCACCAGGTGGTGTAGGTGGTCTGCACCCACCAGGTGGTGTAGGTGAGTCACACACCCCACCAGGTGGTGTAGGTGAGTCACTACCCACCAGGTGGTGTGAGGTGAGTCAGCACCCACCGTTGGTTAACACCCACCAGGTGGTGTAGGTGAGTCCTAACACCCATCCCTACCCCCTCCCCACGTGCTATTATGGTCGCCCAGCTGATCTGTGTTTACATTCTCCCAGCTGATCACGGTATAACTCCTCCCAGCTGATCAATGTTTACGTTTTGTCAGCTGATCAGCTTAAAGTGACTAACTTACCCGACAGATAATGAGAATTATTATCTCACTTGTATATGGACCATTTGAGAGACTAATACAAGGTTGTGTAATATAATACACCCGAGTCACATTGCTGTGTAGTTCACCGCTTGGATAACGAGAACATGTACTTCTGTATGGTGTAAGGCAGACATGGGTGATAAGGTGATAAGGTCTTGATAAGGCAATTTACTGTAGACTCGCTAGAAAATGTGAGATGTACTGTAAGGTCAGCTTCTGGGCAGTGGATGGTGAGTGAGGTAGATCTCTCTCTTTCTCTCTAATTCTCTCTTTATTTATTTCTTTATCTTTCTATTTATGTCTCTCTACATATATCTCTCTTTCTCTCTAATTCTCTCTTTATTTATTTCTCTATCTATTTATGTCTCTCTACATATATCTCTCTTTCTCTCTAATTCTCTCTTTATTTACACCCTCGTACGTATCTCTAATCGCTAATCTCTTTATATATCTCTCTCTTATCTCTATATGTCTATCCCTAAATTTCTTGACTATTTTTTGCATATTTGTGCCACTGTTTTTAGTATGTTTTTATCTTCCTACCCATATATAAACGTCTGTCTGTCTCTACGCATTATCTCTCTGTCTCTGTCTGTCATACTTAACCTGTCCCAACTAACCTGTCTAACTTCAACCTGTCCTAACCTAACCTGTCCCAACCCAACATGTCCATAACCTAACCCGTCCTAACCTAATCTGTCCTAACCTAACCATGCCCAACCTAATCTGTCACAACCTCAACCTGTCACAACCTAACCTGTCCTAACCTTACTGTCTAACACAATCTGTCCTAGCCTAACCTGTCCTAACCTAGACATGTCCTAACCTAACCTGTCTAACCTAATCCTGTCCCAACACAACCTGTCCTAACCTAACCTGTCCCAACCTAACCAGTACCGCCCTAATCTGTCTAACCCTAACACAATACTGTCCCCAACCTGTCCCTAACCTAGCACAATCTAACCCACTGTCCCTAACCCCTAACCTGTCCCTAACCTAACGTGTTTCCTAACCCTAATCTGTCTCCTAACCAATCTGTCCCTAACTCTTATAAACCTAACGTGTCCCTAACCCTAACCTAACCTGTCCTAACCTAACCTGTCCCAAACAGTGTTGTATATTATAAGCCAGAGAGTGAATTACACGTTGAAATATGTTAATACAAGGGGTGGTGGAGTCAAGTGAGTCAGGTGAATCAGGTGAGTCAAGTGAGTCAGGTGAATCAGGTGAATCAAGTGAGTCAGGTGAATCAGGTGAATCAAGTGAGTCAGGTGAATCAGGTGAATCAAGTGAGTCAGGTGAATCAGGTGAATCAAGTGAGTCAGGTGAATCAGGTGAATCAAGTGAGTCAGGTGAATCAAGTGAATCAAGAGGAAGTTCATCTAAACGAACCAAAGATGAGTTATCGATTCCGACCTCAGTGGCCTACACTCCTGTGTTGGAGTATTGGAGCTTCTGGTGGGTGTTGGAGCTGTGGAAGAGTGTTGGGCTGTGGTGGAGGTTGGTACTGTGTGGTGGTGTTGGTGCTGTGGTGGAGTGTTGGGCTGTGTTGGAGTGTTGGAGCTGTGGCGGAGTGTTGGAGCTGTGGTGGAGTGTTGTGCTGTGGTGGGTGTTGGAGCTGTGGAGAGGTGTTGGAGCTGTGGTGGAGTGTTGAGCTGTGGTGGGTGTTGGTGCTGTGGTGGAGTGTTGGGCTGTGTTGGAGTGTTGGTGCTGTGGTGGAGTGTTGGA